CTCATTGCTGTCATCCGGTGGTGGTGGATTCACACGCTGCTTCTTCTTCGGCTGCACCTTGGGGACTGGTGTGGATGAAGTCCCACCAGAACCGCCACCACCTGGGTTGGCCTTAGCCTTCGGTGCCACCGCTGCCTTTGGCGGTGGTCCTTGCGGCTCAGCCGGCGTGGCATTCCGAGACACACATGGAGTGGCTGGCCCCAACGTCCATGCCTGGCCACTCCAGTACTTCCAGCTGCCATCCGGTTGTCCATACCATCCCTCCAGGGTAGGATACATAGGCTGTCGCATCTGCTGGAACTGCATCTGTTGTTGCCATTGCTGGGCCTGCAACTGCTGCTGTTGTACCATGAATTGCTGCTGCTGGGCATTGAGGGCGCTCTATACGGCCTGGTTGATCATGTCCTGCATGTCCGGCTCCTTGTACTTACCCTTGCCTTTCTCATAGCGCTCTTCCTGCTCATAGGGCCAGGTGTTCTTCCCCTTCTTGCCCTTCTGTTGCCGATCCTCACCCTTCCGTGAGGCGGACCGTCGCTTGGACTTGCCCTTGCGAGAGTCACCCTGGTGACTGGTGCCTTTGCGGCTGTCGCTACCCTTCTCTCGCTTGCCCTTGTTCTTTCCTTTTGGAGGCGCTGCCTCATTGGAGCCCTTACGGACGCTGCCCTGGCTCCGGCCTCTGCTCGAGGCCCGATGGTCGCGGCCATCTGGACGAGCATCGTCCTCTTCGGAGGTGTTCCAGTCCGGAACCTCCGGGCCATCTCCCATGGCCCTCGAGCGGTCGCCCCGAGCGAACCAATGCGGAGTTGCAAGTGGTAGCGCGCGCGCGCGCGGACGTGCAAGTCGAAAAACACGACGCGCGGGTCGGAACCTTTTCGCGCTGGGAGGCTAAAAGCTTTGCTTGGGCCAAGCTGCGTGCAAGACAGGTCAAACCTCATGTCACCGCATGTTCTCAAACACAAGTGTCAGTCCTCTGTGACTTTTCTGTGGTACTCGGGCAGCGATGGCCGCGATTTCGCTATCTCATGTGGCAAGACCAGGCTGCCTTCCACAAGCGAATAGGAAGTCTTGTAGAATTGGTGGATTGAATCAATGGCCAACTTTCTTTCATCATCTGCAAAAGGTGTGAATGCCCAACAAGCCAAACCTGCCACACTGTCAAAGGTAAGCAAAGTGTTGACCTCAAAGCAAAAGTTGTTCACCAATGCATGCTGCTCACATTTGATTGCTGGGATGTGCACAGTTGTCGGCCAGGATGGTGCATCAAGAAGCCGCAGTTGTGAGCTTCGACTGCATTCGATGTGCTTCAACTGCTACTGTGCAATGAAAGTGTTCAAGGAATATCTGTATTTAGCTCAAGAAGGTATCAAGTCTCTTTCTCAGCAAGGCCTGAGATCTGCAAGGCCACTGTCACCTTCAGCCACAGCACTCTATGAAAAAGGACCTTCAGTTTGACCAAGGTTGAGTTGAGCACCTGAACTCATTTGTCGCGGCACTAGCGCCATAAGGGACATGCCTTCGCGCACCTGTTTACGCTGCTGCGTTTGCAAGGAGGGAATCGCATGGCTGCGCATATGCACAAATTGCAAAACTTTGGTTGACAAGTTACCAATTTAAAGACTTGGCTGAAAAAGTCAAATCCTATGAAGACAAGAATGAAAAGGACTCACAGGAGAAGGCAAAAACTGATACTGTAAATGATGACGATAGACTTTGCTTGGAGGTGTAAAATACACAGGCAAGAAGAGTAAGGTCGCTCCATGGCTCGTATGCCTCCAAGATGAATCCTAAGAAGTGCTACATGCTCTATACTCAAGAGTATAAAGAGCTTGACAAGAAAGGTAATCTTTAGTCATCTAAGGCCCTAAGGCAGGATCTCAGCTAGAGCTGTGTGAAAGCCCGTGTGAGAAGGGTAGTGCTTTGTCTGATAAGTTTCTTTAAGTCCGAGTCAGGAAATATGTGATTAATGAAAGGGTTGTGGAGGAAGGTTTCAGGATTGATTAAGGTGTGTTGGAAAAGCCTGGTTAAATCAAAGCATGTATATATATATATATAGTTTAGCTGGAAAATTGCTCACCATCTATTTGAGAATTGAAGATTTCGAGAAGAGGTATATGATTAGCAAGTTTCGAATAGCACAAAAAAACTTATGAAAGGTGATGGTTGAGCTCAGGGAAATATGTGACGCAGAACAACTTATATATATGATACATATGTTACATATACAGTAATATAAACTATCATTGTATATGAAGAAAGAAAACAAAAGGAAAAGGAAGAGTAAGGTGGCCAACCGTATGCTTGGAGGCTTGGATGTGTAAAGCATATGCCAGCTTCAAGAATTGCAAGAATCGGGCTACCAAGTCCTGAAAGATCACGCAAGATGGCATGAGAATCAACAAGCTTCAACATGTGTGGCTGTTACTTTGCGAAAACAAAATGGAACTATGGAGATGTTGCTTTGGAGTTTGCAGCAGCACAGTTTACAATGCGCGGCCTGCCCTTTGCTTTGAATTTGATGAGATGATAACAAGGAGGTTGACTTTCAAGAATTCCCCATCTTCTGGTGATGTGAGATTTGCTGGGATGTTTGGATTAAAGAGAGAACTCAGTATTCCAGAATAGTATTTATATATATATATATTTGTATGTGAAGCAATGCGAAAAAATCTGACTAAGAAGATGAGCTGTTCAAGACTCCCTTCATGGAAAGGTTTGGACAAAAAACATGGATGTTGGCTGTATCCTTGGTGCTTGCAGTTGCAAAAGAAGGCTTTGCTGTATGCTGATGGACCGCAAACACATCATGTGACATCTGACTGGGTCTTACAAGCAGGATGCAAGCCACCCTCCACTCACAGCAGGCCGCTGTTGGAGATGTTGCAGTAGGCATCTCCGTCTGGACCTACAGCGTGAAAACAAAGGCCGACAACACAGGAACAAAACTAAGACGCACGCTGGCTCTGCAGTCTCAAGTACTGGAAATATCCGCACCATATCGCCATCAATACGTACCTGGTGTCCAACCAAAAAGCGAGAAGCGGGTCTCATCACACTGCCTTTGAGTTTTACACTTGACGCCAATCATTGCATATCATTGCATCCATGCCACTTGGCAGCCAGGGGCGCGGACCCTAGGTGCGGGTAGTGAATGTTGGGCTGAATCAGGCTTATAGCAATCACGCCTAGGTGAGCCTTGACATCCCAGCAATTCCAGGTCCTGCAAGGCTTTGAGCTGATTGGGACAAGATCATCGTTCTGTTTGGGCCTCTGTTTCATCTAGTGAGCTTGGCGCTTGCATCACAACCTGATGTTTTCAATGTTTTGTATTGAAATTGTGAAGACGAATACCTTGATAACTTGATGGATGCTTGTACTCAACATATCGATGAAGTACCCAAGTCTTGGACAAGACAGTCTCCGATCCGGTGCAAGCACAATGCCTGAAGACGGTATAGTTTGGTTCTGTGGAATATGGAGACATTGTCCACATAGAGCAGGCGGATAAGTTTTCACAGGAGGGCACCTCACCAGCAGCTTGAAGAGGCAGTTCAAACAGCCTCTTCAAGGCCTTGATTGAAAACAGGTAGGTCGCTGAATGTGTCGAAAACAGCATGCTCCAATCAGATCCTCCTATTACAGCCACCACCTTCAGACTCTTGGGACTTTGGCCACAGCTTCACCGATGATCCGAATCTTCTGCCTTCCCAATGAGCGGACTGAGACACCCAAAACAATTTGCAAAGAGATGCAAAGAGGATTTGCTTCACAGCGAAGCTCAGCGAAGTGAGCTGTCGAAGCGCGCCCATCACATGTTTCAGCATTCTGCCAGGGCCTTGGCTTTGGAAACTAGCAAACATGTGCAATGCGCCAAGCAAGTCATGTGGCTGAATTGAAAGCACAAGGGCTGCAATGCCGAGGATTGGATCCAAGAGGCTCTTCACCGATGATGTGATCCAACAAGTCACCAGTGGGCCTAGCAGGGTCCGCTTGCCATCAACAAAACATGAGCAAAGCACACGATCCTTGGAAAGCGGCAGGCATCAAACAGGACCTCGAGGAAAAAAAGTATATAGGAAGGCCATGTTTCGCAAGATAAAAAGACAGCGTGCTGGTTCCAGGTGACTGTCTTTCCAATCACACAATCACCCACCTCACTCTCATCATCTTCGGCCAGCAGTTCCTTCAAAAACATGATTTTGACCCAATCAGCATGAGCACACCACCAGCCTCATATTTTCGAGAAAATCGGGCGACCATGACCTGCCGTTACCAACTCACTGTAAGACCTGTGTCCCCGGAAAAATGATGCGATTTTTCGCGCCTTGTTCTTCGGGGCAAACGGCCCTCATGGTGAACGTCCAGCATCAGCACATAATTACAATTTTTGTGCACTCAGTAGTCCAAAGAGTGAACCCCGAACTCGACAAAATGGTATTATTTGTAAAGGTGCGCAAATGTTCCGCACAGTAAAGAAGATAAAACACATCCGGTCGATCGCCTGGTGGAAGGTTGATCTGAAAGAACATTCCAATGAGAAACGATATATCATAGACAATCAATTGAATGACCGGCAAAAGGAAACTAACAAATCCAAAAGTATATATCTTGACCTGTTTCAACCATCACTTGGTTTCAGCTGCCACCTGTGAGCCTCAATTTTGCAAGAACACGGATCACACAAGTTCATTTTGTTCAACATGCGGCCCCAAACGTACGTGCCATTTCCACTTACCAATGTTTTCCCATGAGTTTTCAATGCCTTGCTTCAAACCAATCAGTCAACGTGGACGTCCAAGCGAAAAATTGCATTGCATTCGAAGTGTAACTCACAGCAAGTGCCAAGTCGCAAACAATCACTCTCGTGCTTCAAAAACCATAACCACAATGGTTGCCAACAGGCGCCTTTAATTCTGACACAAATGTTGCGTATTCATACAAGTATCAACTCGCACCCAACTCACAAGTTTTGCCAGCCAAACATGAAAGCGGGCATTTCTGTCTGTACATGTCATGATTGGATGTGATCAACTCTCACACGTGTCCGCGCTTTTCCATCATGAAATTCAAGTCTTGAAACAGACTTCGGCGGTAAGAAGATTGTCTTAACTTAAGCCACCTTGGCCAAAAGTTTCGGCTCTCGTGTCATTGGGTTCCTGCATGTTGTCCATGTCATCTCCGTTCATGTCGAGTAGGGAGGCTCTCCCTCTTGCTGGAGCTCCTCTTCTGCTGTGCGCTTGTCGTTCTCGAATGGTTTCAGCCTCACTGACTCCTTTTCCATCTCATTGACTGCTTTCTCAATTCCCCCCTTTCCCTCCATGTCCTGAGCGTCCATGGCCCATGTCCACCAATCGAAGACGTTCAACTCCGTCACAAGCATCCGCGCGTTGCTGCACTCGTCGAACTTGTGACCGAAGTAGATGTTCTTCTTCTCCATGATGTTCAGGATGTTGATGTCACCATCACTTTCCCCTTCACGGCGACCAAGCGGTGAATATTTTTTTGCACGGGTGGAGCCGCCATTCATGCAGGAAGCGCATAGGTCAGCTCGTGCTGTTTTTGAAAGAGTCTCCAGCATGAAGTGCCAAGCAACAAACACAACACCCGACCAAGCGATTAATACGTCTCCTCGGTCCGTCAGTTTGTTCTTCATGATCTCCTCCTCCACTTTTTCCAGTCTGCGCAACTGCGTCATAGCGTTCTTAGCCTGGTTGACTCAAAGTTCCTTCTGGGCTCGGTTCTTCACTAAAAGGTTCTTCTAGAACTGGTTCATGAGTTTTTTCTTCTTGCATAACTCCTCCCTGCTCTTCTGAATGGAACTGAGCGCGAATGTCCCTCAAACCTCTCGAGAAACGCAATGGGTCAGCCACGCGCTCTTCTCCAAGCTCTGTCAATGCTCTAAGGTGCAATGAGTCATCCAAGGTCTTCACTGCTACGGTCGGTCTGGCATCAAGTGATGTGAAGGGATGCCCTCCTGCGACATCGATGTGGATGAAGAGCTGTTGGGATCTTCTAGCTGGTCGTCGAAAACATCGATCTGGCCGGTCTTCTCGTCAGCTCCCAGAGCACATCCTGAGATTGTTGACGAGAAATCATCCATTCAAACATTGTTTTTACAGCCACATTTGTGCTGATGGACTTTGTTGGGGGCTGTTTTTTGCTTGCGACCATTTTTTAATAAGACACAAAAGGACAAAAGGCTGAAAAATTGATCACGATAGACAACCACCATTTTTTGACCTATTTCGACATCAAAAACACCAATGCCAAACAAGATGCAGCCCCAAAGTTGTAGCATCATGAAACCGAATCCCCACCAAATCCATCACCAAATTTGAAGATCGCAGCACACAAGCAACTGTCCAAAGTTGAAGATCATAGCACACGATCAGTTACCCAAACATGAACACCAAAAGACCCAATCAATTACCCAACTCCAAGAGCCGCAACACAACAATCACCACACTTGCACACCACGGCATCCAACCAATCACCACATTTGAAGAACACAGCACCCAACAAATCACCACACTTGAAGAGCGCAGCAGCATGAGAGTGGCGAGCTCGTGTAAGCTGGTCGTGTGACCTGCAGCTACTCCCGTTCGGGTACTTTCTGTGCAGTCAGCTGGCGACAATGAGGGTCCGTACACGCAACATCCACTAACGGGAGGGCTTGTGCAGTGGAAGTGCGGAGGAATCGGGCTGTCTAGTGAATTGCCTCCGAGGCCACCGCAGTTGATCTGTATCACATGCGGGAGCGACTGAGTCGAAACGTCAAACCAGTACTGCTTTCGGATGGCAACTTCCCAGAGGAGCGTGCTCCACAACATTTCAACCTGTTCTTGTTCTTGACCATATATAGCATCAAGCACGTCGTCAGCAATTGTCTCGAGGGGCATGACTTGGCCGACTAGGCGATGGAAGAGGATTCGATTGGCCAGGATAAAGTCCTTCCGTTCAGCTTCAAAGAAGCAGGACTGGGCGGCTTCGGATGAGGCAACAGGTGCATCATTGCTGTCATGATGGACAATAGGTAGGCCAAGCCCTCCAGCCACTTGAGCCCATCGCGCAAACAGGCACGGCGGTGTGAGTTGCGGGCTGGGGGTGGCCTCAACAGTCATGGGGGCACTAGCCTGGTGTTGGGATGACAGCCTTGCACGCGGCCAAAAGGTTTTGCGCATGAAAATCCCCATAATAGCCCACGCAACGCAGATGTCCAAGGCACTATGCATGGGCACCCCTAACAAGGGAGTGAACAATAGTCCACTCATGGCAGCATCGCTCGGGTTTCGAGGGGGACACGCTGTAGCCAGCAGTGTTTTCCGGTAATCGGGCAGCTCACCTGCAAGCACTTCTGCTGTTGACCTGGGTCCAATAGGACTGGTGCGATGAGTGCTGCCTACTTGGACGACCGCCCTGGTTAGTAACTGTTACTAAGACTCCTATTTATTTAGGTGACTTAGATCATGACTTATAAGTATGGTTAGACAACTTATAAGTATGGTTATAGTACAGTTACTATGTCTTCTAACAGTTACTAACCGGGGCGGTCGTCCAAGTAATGACAAGACCAGACCTGCATTGTATTCTAGGTGCGCCTCGGTAAAGAGGATCATCTCTATTTTCGAGGCAGAGTCCTTGGCGGTTCGATCATGTCCTACGAGGTCTACCCATTGGAGTTGATTCTCGGCGAGGGCTACAAGGTCCTTGGATTCAAACAGGGTGACCGGCGCACAGGCATTGTCAATAAGTGCAAAATGTTGTCGTGGAAATAGGAATCATGCAGCTTCAAGAACAACTAGACGACGAGAGCGAGACATGTAATTGTCCAGCACTGTCGAAAAGATGTATAGAAAGAGAGAAAGAGAGGGTGGATGTGAAGGAGTGACAGTGTGATGCGCAGGTGAGATATAGATCTGTAGATGTATGGAGGTGGAGAGGTAGATCTGTGGATGTGAGCGTGTGAAGATGTAAATATAGAGAGGTGAGGGGGTGTAAGACGTAGATGCGTCGATGCAACGGCAGTGCAACGTCAACCTTAGTTGCGCAAGTACAACGCTGAAGAGGTTCAAAAAGAACTGAAGAACGTACATTTCACACTGAAGTTTCCACGAACAGGGCGACCTGAGAGTAAACGACGTCACGATCATGACAAGCGACTCGTGTATTCCAAGCGAACATCGTTTGTCATGAAGGTGAAGTACACACATACTAACATCACGATGACTCTTTTGTGGCAGGCACTTATGAGTAAGCAAAGTAGCTAAAATTTGTCAACCTCTCAAGAGAGCTGGGTGGTCGGGAGACATGACTCAGCTGCAGGGGCGCCAGAGCAGCCGCGAGAGATGACTCATCCGCGTACTAAAGTTGTACTACAAAGTCGCCAGTTCTCAGCTTCCAGCTCCACAGCTTGCTCCGCGTACTAAAGTTGTACTACAAAGTCGCCAGTTCTCATCTTCCAGCTCCCCAGATACTCCGCGTACT